CTTGCCAGGGGCATATAAATAACTCTGACACAAATAGCTCTGTTATTACAAGTACAGTAGCTGAGCTGCAAAGGCTTGTACATGGTTGAGTTAAAAAGATAAATTGAAATCAAACATGCACACATTAAAAAATAAATAAATAAAAACCCAGAGAAAATCCAAATACTAACTATATAACCAGCAAGTACAGTACCTTTTGGGCTGTTGAAAGGAATGTATAGATTATTTTACAGTGTTATGCTGGCTCTGCTTCCTGATTTGCAATGCTACACAAAGGTTGCGCCTTACTGTTTCTTTTCACAATGCAAATCAGTGGTCTCACTGAACAATGATGATAGGCAAATATATCCAGAGCAACAAAATAACAGTAAATTCACACACTGAAAAATAACTGCAGCTTAGTTACTACAATCTGCACTTGAAGCTTTCCATACGGAATATGACTGACACCACCTCATAATTAGTATGACAATCATTGGATCTCAGAATATGTGAAAAAATTTTTTTGTTTTTTGTCTCCAATCAGGAAACTGACACCCATTTATTTTAAAGGTGATCCTGGTTGCAAGGATACAAGTGATAGGCAGTGTTTAAAGTGTATTTTCACTTTTGCAGTCAAATTTGAAAACCCCACATACCTAAAAATAATAATTATAATAATATTTGTTTAGTTTTTTTCTCAGGAGAAGGCCTCATGATGGACTGCCAGCATTTCGAAGCAATTTTTGGATGGAGTGTCGCAAACTCAAACTCAGTTTCTTCTCGTTAAAGAAGATTTATCATTAGAAATTTTACATTTCTGTCTCCTATGGGACAAAGTACATGCAGTACTTTGTCCCATGTTTCAAAGTGCTTTCTAACCCTAGTTATACCGTATTTACCGGCGTATAAGACGACTGGGCGTATAAGACGACCCCCTACTTTTCCTGTTAAAATATAGGGTATGGGCTATACTCGCCGTATAAGACTACCCCTCTTCCAACGCACACCAAATAAAAATGAAAAAACATCAGATTTGATTTCAATATGGTATGCTATTTCAGTATGGTATTCCAATGATGGGTGCTATTCCTCCCACTGACACCAATGATGGGGCACGATTCCTCGCTCTGACACCAATGATGGGCACTATTCCTCCCACTGATACCAATGATGGGACACTATTCCTCCCACTGACACCAATGATGGTGCCCCATCATTAGTGTCAGTGTGTGAGGAATAGTGTCCCATCATGGAAGGAATAGTGTCAGTGTCAGTGGAGGAGGATCATAGTGCCCCATCAATAGTGTCAGTGGGAGGAATAGTGCCCCATCGTTGGTGTCAGTGGGGGAGGAACAGTGCCTCATCGTTGGTGTCAGTGTGGAGGAGGAAATAGTGCCTCATCGTTGGGTGTCAGTGGGGGGAGGAATAGTGCCTCATCGTTGGTGTGAGTGGGGGAGGAATAGTGCCCCATCGTTGGTGTCATTGGGGGGAGGAATAGTGCCCCATCGTTGGTGTCAGTGGGGGAGGAATAGTGCCCCATCGTTTGGTGTCAGTGGGGGAGGAACAGTGCCTCATCGTTGGTGTCAGTGGGGGAGGAACAGTGCCTCATCGTTGGTGTCAGTGGGGGAGGAATAGTGCCCCATCGTTGGTGTCAATGGGGGAGGAACAGTGCCTCATCGTTGGTGTCAGTGGGGGAGGAACAGTGCCCCATTGTTAGTGTCAGTGGGGGAGAGGAATAGTGCCAAGAGTGTCACAGCATGGTGCTGCTGCACACTTACTGGCCGCTCCCTCACTCGATTTTCGGGGGCCGCTCGGCTCCGCCTCCTCGCCAGTGATTGGTCGCCTGTGTGCCTTTCCAGTGCTGGCGCCCAATCACCGGTGAGGAGGTGGAGCCGAGCAGCCGCGCGACCGAACTGAAAGAAGGAGCAGCCGCGCTTCCTGGACCGGATCATCGTTGGGATCGGGACCGGAGCCAGGTAAGCTACAGCAGCCCCCTGCCCGCCCCTGTACTTAGTGTCCCTTCCGCCACCGCGCCGCCCCGCGAAAAAGTGTCGCCCTGACACCGGCTCGCCGTATACCGGCGTATAAGACGACCCCCAACTTTTCAGAAGATTTTCATGGGTTAAAAAGTCGTCTTATACGCCGGCAAATACGGTAAGTACCGTACCAGCCCCCCTTCAGTTCTGCTGCAGCCAAACCGACAACAGCTCATTCTTAGCTGCAGTTTGTCTCAGCTGTGTATACTGTCCCAAGAAAAGACACGGGCAACAGGAATGCAGAGCCTTACTTTCCCAAGGCAAGCAATGGCAAGAGGAATGCAGAGCCTTACATGCTCCCTCCCCTGCATTCGTCTTGCCGTTGCACAGACAGAGGGAGCGACAAAGGGAACTATTGCTCTATGTGTCCCTCTTGCGCTGCCTGTGTGTATGGAGTTTGGAAAGCATAGAGAGGGCTCCTATGGAGTTACATAGGTCCCGGCGGCACAGGCACCTATGTAACGCCATAACATATAGAACAGGGAGTGTGTCAGCATTGCTGGAGGACACTTTCAAAAGTAAACAGAGGAATATTTTTTTTTTTTTTAAACAGCAAATACATGCAAGTTATATTATCTGTTTTATGAAAAACACGACTTTAATCTCACATTAAGCAGGAAAAACATAGCAAGAAATCAAATTCTAATTATCACGTTATCCTTTTCAATTTTTCTGCCTCTTGATGATGGAAAAGATGAAATGTAGAGAGAAAAAATATCACAAAATGGGAAGATGCGGAGTGGATTGGGATAATCCACATTAATATATGCAGCTTCATGCACTGTCCCTTTTTGCAAAGAGCTGAGTGTCCTGATGTACACAAAGGAAGGTGGAGAAACACCCATGAGAAAACCACCGAGTTTGGGCAGCTAGAACAGATCAAGGCAGAAGTCATAAAGCTTCTGGAGTTCTACTGCACCTGCACTCCACCCACACACATATAAATATATATATATATATATATATATATATATATATATATATATATATATATATATATATACAGTGGAGCTTTTACTATGATATCAGTTGCCCATAGACTCACCAGGCCACCACTGCTTAACCTGTTGCCAGTGGTGCTGTAAATATATGTCACGTGACCTGGTCGGAGCATTAGCAATGCAGGCAAAGTGGCTGAACTGTACTGCTATGGTGGCGTTGCAGTGTGCCGTTACCAGACAGCCCCACTCCAAGCTTTGTATATAGAGCAGATAATGAGTAAGGGGAACAGGTCTGCACATCAGCCGAAAGAAAGGCAACTAAGCAAAGGAAACAGGTAGAAAAATTCAAATTACAGTTCAGCCTAAACCCTCCACAGCAGTCCTAACAAAAAGGTGGGACGCAACGTACTGTGTCAGTGCAAAATAGCAAATTATAATACTAGCATGCACTCCTATATAAATAAATAGAAAAGTCCACGACAAAAAAAAAACTTTCCGTCACACTGCTCTCCGGATACAACAGTTTCTACAACCATGTCACATACAGTAACCATTAGAAAGCTAGTTGATCACAGTCAACAGAGTCTTCAGAGATGAGAACATATGAACTGCTGAAGCTCTGGTTCTGACACTCAGCAAGGAATACCCAGATATACTGGTCTGGCTTAAGTATCTGGGTCTTGTGCCATCTGGAACACATAGGTGTCAGAGACGACCGCAGGGCTGAGCAGTGAGAGTAACAGTATATTAAATATGAACTGGAAAATTCTCTGCTCATTGACTAAAGACTTATATGATTTTATGGCAAGAATCTACCGGCAGTTGTGGATAGTAAAAAAATCTACCAATTCTTCCAAGGTAGGGGTGTTATAGCCTGTAGTGAGCAGACAAGTTTCTATTTGCCTGGTGTCCATTTCTCCTGTAGGCAGTAATATACCTCTTGGTTGCTTATTAACCATAAAGCTGTGTCCTTCAATGGGTGAGAAAGAAAGGATTTTGCCCAGTATAAGAAAACAAACTTGCTTATAGTCTGCTATGGTGTGGCATCCCTACCAGACACAAATAAAGATCCTGAACATTTTTTCTTCCTAACAGTCAAAGCAATACAGCTTAGTTGAGACTGTAATTGGATAGAGAATGAGCAGCAACTCACTGATGAAGTCACTTTGCTTAATCTTTGCTTAATCTTCTAATTAGTAAGCTAAATTTGTTAGCTTTGGATGCACTGTGCAATTTAGTAATGCCACACTGGCATACAGTCCTGCTCCCTGCACTGATGTTAATGTGCAAAAGATTAGTGGCTAGTGCAAAACAGAGGTAATCATTTAAAGGTACTTAATGAATGCATAATTTGTGTAAATATGGGTCTTTTATATCTATATCTTTATAGCTATAAACACATATCACCAAATGGGATGCTGTTTCCAACTGTCCCCCACATTCTCCAGGCAGTCATCAAAAAGATGTTTCCCAATCAGTGAAAATATAGATTTATATATGAGAAAAAACAAGGGAGGAAGTTTCACCAGCAGGTCCTTGGGGCAGGACAAAAATCACTGATGGTGTGGATAGGCAGTTTACAATCTCCTGTCCTTTCAAACCAGCGGAAGAGGGCTGAAGCCTGGTTCACACTAGTGCAATTTCAGATGAGTCACACAGAAATCACACAAGGTGAATCACATTGTTTTCAACGGTGTCTGTTCACATCAATGTGACTCAGTAAGCAGCGATTTTGGAAAAGGTTCCGGTACTACTTTGCTGCAATTCCAGTGTGATTTTGGCCTTATATAGTATACAAACCTTATCCAAGTTGCACTACATACCGTAGTCACACTGAAAATCAATTCAAAATGGTATCCCAGAGGTGTGAACCTAGCCTGAACCTTTTGTATAATAAGTCGTATTTTTTTTATCAGAAACTCAACAAAATGTTTATTGATAAAGAATGTAGCTAATATGAAGACACAACAAAGATAATTAAACAGAAGAGAAAAGATAAATCACTGAAGCAATTTATAAAGCAGAATGATTGTTGAACTACCTTGCACACTCTGGCTATCCTGGGAATTAGAAGCTTGTTAAAAAATTCATATTCCACAGACACTTCAGTGAAGAAGAAATAGACTTTGTCATCATCTCCATCTGGGTTATTCGGAGGTGCTCTGATCACATCTGAATACACAAACTTAGGCTCTAAAAACAAGGAAGGAAATACACTCATTACTTCACCGATTCAGATCACTTTTTCGGTTTGTTAAAAAATGGTTTCATGAAAGACGAAAATGTTCCAAAATAGAAGTACACTACCCCAAGAATTGCAGAACTTGTACACACTACATAAAAAAGCTTTTAAATGAAAACTCCATGGCTGACTTGGAGGGAATCCAATGCAGGGGTTGTGAAAATGGTGTTTGAATGTTGGTGCACTAAATAATGTATTGAACATAAAATTTAGATTAAAATGATGAACAGTGTGTGAATTCTGCTTAGTTTACTGTAAAATCAGACTGCTGAGACTCGCAGGAACACAATGTATTTCAGTGTGTGTCTGTTTGGAAATTATAGGTTATTGTCAGTTGTGGGTGCTCAGCAGGATCATTACAGAAAACTGAAAATGGGCAGATAAGTCATATGCTCTATGTCTGTTGGCAATGTAAAAGAAGAGATCATCAGGTGTTTGCAATTGATCAGCAAACACAAATGCTCCTGCGCTTGGGGATGGACTCGATGCAGGCTACAACCACATTAAGAATGTCCTGGAACATGCACACCTTGCTGCCCTCAAATGGACCGAGGAAATCCAAATATACTGAATGAGGAAAGACAAAACAGAGGGCGCACAAGCCTAGTGCATTACCATAAAAAATGTTTAATAAAAAATAAAGTAGGTGTTGTACTCACAAACGACAATATAGTCAAGGCACATCATAAAGAACAGCTGGGTCAACACCGCGCTGAGTAACAGTCCGCAATAGGGAGTTTAGACATCCAAAAGGCTGACGCGTTTCGAGGACTTGCCTCTTCCTCAGAGCCCTGGTGGTCTTTATGATGTGCCTTGACTATATTGTCGTTTATGAGTACAACACATACTTTATTTTTTATTAAACATTTTTTATGGTAATGCACTAGGCCTGTGCGCCTCTGTTTTGTCTTTCCTCATTCCGTTTGCAATTGATGCTTGAACAGAACCTCAAAGTCTCTGTGTAGGTCTAACACGGAGCTCCTGTTGAGGAGATTTTCGCTCACTTCCGGTCCTAAAGACGCAAGAGGAAACTAGAGGAAATCTCTCCACAATGAACAAGATTCCTATTAAAGGGTCGTAACTGGAACAAGTGTCCCCATTTACAGATGTTTTCTCACTTTCTAAAGAAAACCAAAATTCTGGACTTTCCATTACTCTCTGTCTGGGTCTCAGTGGTCACTGGACAAAAAGCGGTGTGAATCCCAGAAAGCAATAAAAACTTGACAAAGAATCTAACCCTTTCCTACTCCACAACTAACAAAAAAAGTAAGTGTGTGTGTGTATTGTGACAGGAGGTCAAGAAGAGCTAAGGGATGTGTCCAGGATGGGAAGTATGTTTGTCCCAGGTTCATGCTTTACACTGACTGTTTCTCCTTTGGTGCTGTGTGGTGAGCCTTTTTGACTCACTGATGATGTCACGAGCTCAGCTGTAGTAGGTTAAGGGCTCTGGGCTCTATAAAACTCCCAGGTTGCTTAGAGAGGATGCACCAACCTGGAACCAGTTTGCTGTGCAGGACAGACTGGGAAGCAACCAAACATTACTGTGGTGAGAGTAAATCTGTGTGATCTTGGACTGTGAGACGCTCCGTGTGAACACCTTGTGTCTGAGCAGCTATAGGCTATATCCAGACAGGCAGATAGAAACCTGTGTCTGCAGTTAGATGCCCAGTGTGGCAAGGCTTTATTTTCTGTTGTACTTGTACTTGTTTTGCTGTTTTTGGATATATGCACCTTGTGTTCACCAGACCTGTAAATAAAGCACAACCTTATTCACCAAGATCCTGCTGTCGTGCTGAGCCTCTTTCACCCGTGTTCTGACTCATCCAGGGGGTTAAGCACAACCCACTACTGGGCTAATCCCTCACTATATATATATATATATATATATATATATATATATATATATATATATATATATAAACATTTTACAAAAATCTGCACACAAACCATAAACATACTTTTCATCTTCTGCCATGAAACATCTTTAAGTTAGTAATAAGGGTACTATGGCTAACCCAACTGTTTGATTCATATTATCCATATTCATATGAATTGGCATGAACAGTGCACCTGCATGTGGTCTTACTCAAACATTTCCCTGCTGTTTTTTGTTGTGGGAATAATTTCAGTTAAACCTGGCATGAAAGAACGTAGTTGAAATCAGGCACACAGATGTGTGCCAGAAGCTCTTGCCTTCTTTCAAAGCTATTCCTATTCACCCCACAGACCAGCAAACCAGACATGCCTAAAATCTGACCCAGTCAGGTCAGCTGTCAACTGCCACATTGTAAAAAATTACTCACACACAAACTCAAGAATACAAGACAATGTTGAGTCTCTAAACGAAGATATCCCGTTGTAACTACTTAGAGACCTATAGCATGCATTTAATGTTTACTGCAAACAAACATTTATGTGACAAAGAATCATAGTTACATAGTTAGTCTGGCTGAAAAAAGACAAAAAGTCCATCTAGTTTAACCATAAAAAAAAAAAAGTTAAAATACTATACCCACAGTTCATCCAGAGGAAGGCAAAAAAAAACCCAGCAAAGCATGATGCAATTTGCTCCTGCAGGGAAAAAAATTCCTTCCCGATCCCCTGGATCAACTTTACCTATAAATGTTAGTAACCAGTATATTCTGTGTATCCAAGAAATAATCCAGGCCTTTTTTAAAGCAATGCACTGAGCTGGCCAGAATAAACTCGAGTCCTCAAATATATACTATATAAGTATTCCCCTGAAATAAAATAATAATAAAATAATAATTGAGGGAGTCTATTCCACATTTTCACAGCTCTCACTGTGAAGAAACCTTTCCGTTTTTTGGATTACATTTCTTTTCCTTCAGACATAAAGAGTGCCCTCTTGTCCTCTGTGATGACCTCAGGGTGAATAACTCTACACGGAGTTCACTGTATGAACCACTGATGTATTTATACATGTTGATCATATCTGATGCTCGCCTGAGCCTGCCCCCTTAATCTCTTCTAATATTTCCTCAGAGCTGAGCTCCTCCATAGCCTCTTATCAGTTTGGTTGCCCTTCTCTGTACTTTCTCCAGTTCCCCAATGTTCTTTTTGTGAATTGGTGCCCAAAACTGAACTGCATATTCCAGATGAGGTGTTACTAATGATTTGTACAGGGGTAATATGATATCTCTCTCTCTGGAGTCTATACTTCTTTTAGAAACCACAGTTTTGCATTGCATGCCATTATTAAGCTTGTGATGAGGTGTTACTAATTGATTTGTACAGGGGTAATATGAAATCTCTCTCCTGGAGTCTATACTCTTTTAAGAAACCACAGTTTTCTACCAGAACTCCCAGATCCTTCTCCACCATTGATTCCCCCAGTTGTACCCCCCCCCAGTATGTATGATGCATGCATATTCTTTGCCCCCAAGTGCATAACCTCACATTTATCAACATTAACCTCATTTGCCACACAGTTGCCCAATTAAACAGTGCATTGAGGTCAGCTTGTAAGTTGGAGACATCCTGTAAGGATGTTATTCCACTGCACAGCTCGGTGTCATCTGCAAATACTGAAATGGGATTTATAATCCCAGACTCTATATTGTTTATAAATATATTAAAAAGTAAGGGTCCCGACACTGAATCTTGGGGTACACCACTGACAACCCTAGACCATTCAGAGTATGAATCATTAACCATTACTCTCTGAATACGATCTTTAAGCCAGTTTTCTATCCATTTACATACAGATTTTTCCAAGCCTGTAGACTTTACCTTGCACATTAGCTGTGTGTGGGGAACTCTGTCAAACGTTTATACAGCATTTATATAGCGCCAAAAGGTTTGCTCAGCGCTGTACATTATAGTGGGGGACAGTACATGAGACAATACAGTAACAAAACAATACACAAGGGGTTCGAGGGCCCTGCTCTTTCGAGCCTACAATCTACCATGTCCACCACCACCCCTCTGTCCAAGGTTTTGCTCACCTCCTCATAAAAAGAAATCAAATTTGTTTAACAACTTCTGTCTTTCATAAATCCATGCTGTCTGTTGATTAAATCCCCAGAGCACTATAGGTAACTAAAAGAATTATCAGAACAGCAGCAGCGCTCAGTGGTTCCTGCCACTGACTTCCACTCACTAAAGGATACAGTAGTGATGTGGAGGTCAACAGACCAAACCACTGAGCACTGCAGGGGACAGAGGTGGTCACCAGTTCTGGAAGTGCTGTTCTCTGAAAAAACTGCATAACTAGTGATGTGACAGCAGTAAAGGTATGCCATTATTAAAAATACCTAAAGTATGTGAGCTAATCACTTGAAATTAGCAAGATTTTAACAAATAACTTAAACAGTAACAGAGCATCTCAGTAACTTACCATTAAGCCAAGGTACAGCATACTCTGTTCTAAGTAGACCTTGTTGGGAGTGTCTGCATATGATTGGTTCACTGCCCAGAAAGGTAAAAGAGGTGCCAGAATATAATTCCCCATCTTTTGGAAAAAAAAAAAAAAAAAGACATATGTATCTTTAAAAACATATGAGCACTACAGACTTATTTAGACTACACTCACACTGGCGATTAGGACCGGTGTGAACTGTAACGGTAGGAATCAGAGATTCCTGCTGTGGTTCACAGTGGCTAGGTGCGGCCCCCAGCCTTGTTTGCTATAATGACAGGTCAGCCAGCCATTACCTGTGGTGATCGCTGCTGGATGCACACATAATCTGTCCAGCAGTGATCACCACAGGTAATCGCTGGTTATGCAGAGAGTCGTAAATAGCTGAGGCCGCCAGTGACATGTCAATATAGTGCATGCTGCCAGTGGCCGCAGATGACCACTGAGAGCCAAGGCAGTAATCTCAGATTCGTGCCACAATTCGTACCAGCCCTAATTGCTAGTGTTAATGTAGCCTTAGGCTTTATTTAACTAAGGGCTGGTTCACATCATGCCCACATCTTAATTCCAACCGCATGCAAAATGCTCTACATTTGCCATCTGCAACAGATGTCAATAAAAAGTTAACGACACCCCAAATGTAGGTAAAAACTTTTGTACCATGTGATCTGGTTGCAGTGCATTTTAAAAAGTAGTACAAGCGCTACTTCTGGTGCAGTGCGGTGCAGTTTTAGCCCATTTTAAATGAATGGGCTGAAATTGCACTGCGCAGAACCACATGTGAATTGCATAGAACACACAGTGTGTTCATGTGCGATTTAGATGTGAGCATTGTGTGAACTGGCCCTTAAACAATAACATGTACAGGTCACCAGAAAGTCTGTATATCTCACTCTTACGCTAAAACAGGATAACCCAGGAAACGATCGATACAACACTGGTCACACAGCTTACCAAAAAAATTCCAGAAAAAAATAATGTATACACACAAGGGAATTGCTACTTCCAGCCAATGAAAGGCAGGTACATGGATAAACAGGTTTTTTTTTTTTTTTTAAGAAGTGTAATCTGGTGGTTGGTAAAAATGAAAACACATTTCAGAATTATTGAAAGAATTAAATATTCATCTTATGCACTCAATAAGATGCCGCTACAATCTCCTACGTCCTGCGTCAGGATGGTCTAACTTTTTTCTTGCACTAACGTATGCACTTAATCTCAGGCTGCCCTTTCTGAATACCATGCTACAAATAAACCTCTGATCTAAGTTTACTTCCTGTAGAGGTGAATTAATAACTCATTTACATTTCACTACACATAGACTACTCTTCTGAAAATGAATGATGAATGAACTACGGCTGCTAAATTCAGTGGTGAGTTATGATGCAGTAAATATAACCTGCAGGCCACTTAATTGAAATACAGCTCTGGTAAGCATTCTGATGTCATAACAGTTGATTAGTGTACTTTAGATAATGTTTTGTCTGATAACCTCTCCTTTAGAATTTGACACTGCAACCTCTGGCACACATTACCTTTCTCAGCTTTACTTATTCTGCTGTTTTGTTCTGATAATAAATGACTTACCAACCATCACTGAAGTGTAACTCTGTGCAGGATCAAAAGGACAGCGTCCTTTACCGTCTTCATTTTTGCCTAACAGCCGAAAACTACTAAGTTCCTGCAAAAACAAAGATTCCTGCTGTGACATACCTGTAAGTTAACAACTTAACTCTCTATAGTTTGATAGCAATACTGGGCATTGTGATTCATTACAAAATACTTAGAATAAAACTAGCAGGGTCTCTTCTTCCCTAACCCAGTTTGCACATCATACTCACTAACAGGGAAACTGGAAGTCATATTAAAAAAGCATCATAGCAGAACTTACCAGAAAATCACAGGAGGGATGAAATGCATTGGTTCCACACACATATAGAGTGTTTTCATTGAGTGGCTGCAGCACTCTAATGTAGTTCAGACATTCTGTCTGTAATAAAAGAAACATGTAACATGTTATTAATGCAATAAGTGAAAAGTTTAAGCCAATATGCACAGAAATTGGCATTACAAGAAACAACTGCTTGGGAGCCTACACTGGGGTATACAAATAAAATATATGAAACACGAATACAAAGAACGTATTTATAGACATACAATTTCAAATAAAAGGATACATTCTGCCTAATTTCCAGAGTTCACATTTAAGGTTTCTGACTTGGCTCCAACTTTCCTGACTTGCATGCAAAAACAAAAATGAAAAATACCTGACCACTGAATGTTAAATATAGAGACAAACCCTAGAAGCAAAGGCTGTACACATGTTCATTCTAGTAACCCTAGAAAATAACATCTTAAGAGGGTCATGGAAATTGTAAATACTACAAACACTCATAGCTAATTATGCATCAAAGTCAAACGCTTAAGTACCTGTCTGGATTTGCCTTTCCGTACGCACTCTTTGCTCTTCTCTTCTGAGGCTTTCCAGTAAGCCTGGAATCAAAAGGTTAATATTATTTATAATTAACTTTTGCAAACTAGTGGAAGCTGCAAGAACCATATCAAGCCTATGAATATATACATTTAAACCCAATATTATAGATGTCAAAAATCCTTTAACCTGCTGCAGTCACTGATTAGGTGTTAAAAGCTAACGTCTGCTTTCTTACAATGTAGCATGTTCTATAAATATGGACTATGAAGTCATGGGCTAGGTGTTTGTTTATAGGCTAACTCCTGCTCTTTTACCAAATTACATAAATATGGATATATTTAGGGTGTAAAATGGTGCCAACCTGCCCCCTCCCCCATCCTCTTCTGGTAGGTTGCAAAGTTCTTCTCCCCGGGGATCCTGTCCCTTTTTTAATTTTGCATAGTTGTATATGGCTGGTCCTGCACAGCCACATCATTCATTCACAGAGTTCTCTGAATGAACTACAAGTCCCATCTTGCACTGTGGCAGTGTGGTGATCAGAGGACAAGCAGCTCCAGAAAGTCTGCATGAATCCTTGCAATGCACCTGTGATCCACCGATAGTGGATACAATGCAACTGCAGGCGTCTATGCCAAAAAAAAATAATATATAATGACGATAATTTATAATAATATTAATAATAATAATAATAATAATAATAATAATAATAAATGCACAGGTTTTTTTTCCTGCAGATATGGGTAGATTTATTACTTGTTTTGCAAAGGGTGAATTTTGCCTTTAAGTGTCCAAATCTCATTTTATGGGACAGTTTCTCAGCTCTCCTTAGGTCGCACCAACAGGTCATGTGATCTGCTGGGAGCATTTAACCAATGGAGTGTAATATAAAGTGTTATTTATAACAATTACATCCAGTGAACGCTGATAGTGATATGCTGTTTAAAAATATTTTAATCCAAGGTTATTATTATAGTTTATTGCTAGTCCAGAATTTGACATTAATAAAGATCTTGTTTAATCCAATATCCTAATCTATCTTTATATACCTTTCTGTAACCCCCTCCAAAGCACGATCCCAGCAAGCTCTACTACACTACATGGTACAGGTACCTTCTGACAAGGCCATTCATTTGCATGTATGCCAAGGGAATGGAGCGGTGTACTGTACAATAACCCATAAATTATACAGATGTGCTCAGAACATGGCTAAATTATTGATGTAAAATGTTTCATTATCTGGTTATCCTTTTTGATAGTGTTTTGTAAAACCAGCAACAGTACGTGTATGTTTCCTTTCAGCAAAGTTAACACATTAAATGAAAGCATACTTTTTTTCTATACAGGGATTAGCATTCAGAGGGAGACTTTTTTTATTACAAATACCATCAATACATTCTACTACACAAACAAAACCCACCAGAAATGTACTCCGTAAGAGAACTTGAACTGAAGTATCTGTCGGTGCAAAATAATTACCCACCTCATGTTTCTTCTCTGAAATATTCAGTGAATTTACTGCAAAAATGACTTCCCGTGCTCCAATATATAAAACATTCTTGTCTTCACTTAGTAATAATGTTGAATAATTATAAACTTCTTGTTCCTTGAAATGAGTTAAACGAATTTCTGCAAAAAGAAAAATAAAAAAGTAAGCTGGTGCTCTACATATCTTCTGTATCCTAACCAGGGGCGGACTGACAACTCATGGGGCCCCCCGGGCAATAGGGGATCATGGGGCCCCTGTGTCCTCTCCCACACTCAAACCACACCCAAAAAAGCCTATGAAAGGTACCAGGGGCATCTCATGGAGCCCCCTACTGACCCCAGGCCCTCGGGCAGTGCCCAAGTGCCCGAATAGTCAGTCCGCCCCTGATCCTAACCATACCATACCATATCATACATTCATCTAGATTTTGCAAGCATACAGAAAAAATATGAAAATGACTTTGGTATATTTATAATCCAGTAATTTTCTTCAAACACAAACATGCCTCATAGTAGCATGTAGGGAGGTATATGCAACAAAGAATCAAGGGATTAGAGGAATTGGATTTCTTATTGATCTAATTTAGTAAACAGAAATCCTAATAGATGCTACAGACTATTGTACTTGACACATAATAGTCTGCAATGCATTAAGCACTTTCCTACCAGGGCAACATTTCATTTTTCACACACAAAATTGCAGATTTTTGCAAGAAATTAAGTTTTCTATGTTTATATTTTCAGGAAAAGATACACTAAAATGAATTTTAGTGCACACAAACACATTACCCATTTTTTTTGTGACATATAAAAGATGGGGTTGCATCCAGTAAATAGATACCACACATATCAAGGCTTAAAACTGTGCATGACCGGGAAATGGTGAAGACTACAGTATCCAAAATGCTAAATTTCAAAAGACTTTACAGGTTGTCAGTTTAGAGTAAACAGTGACTGATGACCACAGAATTATCGCTCTCGCTCCACCATTCACAGTGATACCTAACTTGTGTGGTACAATCACTGTTTACATGTAAGTGCAAACGCCCTACTTGTACGTTTGCATTTGAGTGTGTGCATGGGATTACAGGTTGCTCTTAAAGATATTTACATTTTTATCTAATTTAATATGTACATTTTTTTACTTTTTTACATTTATTTTATTTTATTAATTTTAAATATTTTAACACTATTTTTTAATTTAACTTTTGCTATCATAAGGGGGATAACAAGCCCCCTATGTCATAGAATTGACAGGTGACAGATTCTCTTAACTCACTTAAACTGATCAAGCACAAGACTGTTTACCGGGCATTTTAGCTGGGATTTTGAAAACTCTCAACCTGTAAATACTCAAGAGATACCCAGTTCATTAAACGCAGCAGAGATTAAGGAATAGGGTAGCTCTTCACTGTACTGGCTCTACAGCCGCCTGGATCAATTTTACAGTAAAGCCAGCAGCCATGAGCTTGTTTTAACCCCATAAACACATGGACATTTATAAACATACCGTGATGGGCTAAGGCTGATGCTGCATGGCTTGAATTGTGGCAGATTCCTGATGAACCAGCCAAAATTCTAGCTGTGGGTGGCCTTGTCGCCACCACCTGCTCACAATAGCCGACAGAGAAAATTACACCATCCCAAAATATGTAGGGATATTCTTTTGATTTCAGTAAAGTTGGAGATCAGACATCTGGTTACTATTTCTGTCTGTGCCCCCTTACTCCATCCAAGAGTTTCCTACCTTCTTTTTCTTGTGTTACGACGACAAGAAAAGGTGGGAGTTGTTGTCAATGGGACAGAAGGCACACACAGCAAAAGAAATATTGTCAAGGCAAGCCATAGATTGCAAGAAATTGCTTGATGAAAATCGACTGCTTGATTCCCCCAGTATGTATGCTACCAGTGAGATGTCTCACAATGATACACTACTGGCAGCTATAGCCACCGGCAGTAATCGCATGAAAATGGGTGCCAAATTTCTGGATCTGGCAACTAAAAGATGCACATATAATGGTCTAACTATTCATCAGATAACACTACATGCATTTTTTTTTTCGATATGCACGAACTTCACATAAAAAAAAAAAAACAAAAAAAAAAAAGGCTGGTTGTACTGAAGTGGATAGATGGATCAACTTCAGTACAATCAGCCTGCCCATAGATGGATCACATAGGTCCCTGCTGAGCCGGCTGAGGTTTGACCCATCTATGGCCAGCTTTAGTTAAAGCCCTTCCTTACTCAAATTCATTTTTGTCTGTTAGGGCCCTTTTCAAGCGATATGCTTGAGTGGAATTTCTGACTTGAACACGGCTACACCACTTCCTTGGATGAATTAGTACTTCGCTAACAGGTTTGTCTGTAGTCATTCTTTCCCTACAACAAGGAGCTAACATTTGCAATGTTTTTTTAGCAACCCATATTTCATTATTTCTTTGTTGTAAGTGTATAAGAAGTCAAGAACTTCTCTAATGGAAAAAACATTAAAATCTAGAATGACAGAGACATTTTTTATACAGTCATACATGCTTTTTGCGTTTAATTTTTTAGTATTAATTAAATCCTAAAAATGAACTGGAAAAAGGTATAAAAAAACAACAAATCAGTGGTATACACCTTGCGGGCTCATTTCCACTAGCAGTTGAGAGACATTTTTACTATCCCCCCCAACTGCTCCCCCTTTAGCTGCAGAGGCAGTGACTGGGGATGCACACATGCTAGAGCAGAAATGTGGCATGCTAGTGTGAGGTTCAAGGGGTTAAAGCAGGCCTTGAGGAGGCGACAAAACTCCTCCTTACCACCTGTCACTTTTTCTGTAAAGAGCAATCACTCTTCAGAGATCAAAGAAAGTGTGAACAAGCCCTTAGACAGTAGTAGTAAGATATCAGGTAATAGAAGTAATTTGAATTGAAGTCCAGCTATGCAGTTCCCAAATCGGTGTATTGCCACAGCACTGTGGCATGTATGGGTGCCATATTTCTGGATCTGGCAACTAAAAGATGCACATGTAATGGTCTAACTATTCATCAGATAACACTACATGCATTTTTTTTCGATATGCACAAACTTCACTTTGCTGAATCAGAACAGAACATCGCTGGATCCCCCAACTGTTACTTTGAGCTATGACTGTTTTGAACTGAAATCAGTCTCATCAGATGTAAATCAGACCATATGGGGTTTCTTCAGTAGGTGTAAAGGAAACTAGGCTGTTTTGCCAACGCTTGCCAAACGCCCCTATGCGTTTGACAAGCGTTGGTCCCGGCGTTTGCGGAGTTTTTTCGGCAAACGCTACACAAAAGCCAAATTCTTCCACTAAAGCGTTAATAACGCCCCACAAACGCCACAGTTTGAGTGGTGTTACCGCTCCGCAAACGCCCCGCAACCGCGTCGCAAAAACCGCAAACTTAGACGAGAATAGGAGGCTTCAAAGGACTATGTCCGTTTTGCCGCGACGCAACGCAAACGCTCCCGTTAGAACAGCACATGGCTGTAATTGCAGAATTGGCAGAGGCGTTTGGGAAGTAAAAAACCTTCCCAAATAAGCACACAAGGCTAGTTAACTAGCCTAAAGGTAACACTTTGGTAACACTTGGGTGAAAAGTTTTTACAAAAAGAGAAAATTCTTCCACTAAAATGTCTTACACAACACAGAAACTTTGCTAAAAAGGGAACTATGTCTGACCACCTTTCACATGGCTGTTTTAGTAGATAACTTATAAGCCGGGTTAACTAAATAATGCCAACTGTGAAAATAGTAGTCAAATTCAAACATGCCTATTGTACATACATATTATTTAAAAAAAAAAGTCACTCAAAAAAGGTGCCATGGCACTTGACAGAACCTGATTTTTACAATATTCTTCAAACTGATATAAGAAGGTAGGTGTGTAAGCTTTGCAGAATAAACCACATTAAGTATAGTATTCACAATAAAAAAGTTGAAAAAAGTGCTGGCTCATGCTAGTGCTACTTCAGTTGCAACTTGAGTCGCACAGAACTACATTACAAGAGAAATCACATTATATTTATTGTTGCTCGTTCAAATCAATGCGACTCAACACGGATTTTGGAAAAGGCTCCAGTGCTACTTTGGTGTGATTTACTGTGCAACTCAGCCCCATAAAATATGCAAAAACACAGCCAAGTTGCACTACATAATCTCTGCAAAAATCGCATCGCAGTAGTGTGAACTGAGCATTAAACAGTATATACAAGGAAGTCAAACTGGTCAAAACAAAATTATATTTATGAAGTAAAATAAATTGTAAGATCAGGAATATAGCAATGATGGTAAAACCAATATGGGAAATGTGAGATGAGAACAGCTTGAAAGTAAAAAAAAGGCTATAATTGAATTCTGATAGAAATCATTTTCTACCTGTTTGTTGCCACGTGATCCTGGGCTCTGGAAATAATGTCGCAGCTGGCAGGACAAAACACAGGAGCGTATACAGACGGTGTACAAATGCCATGCTAGGTGGAAGCAGATCCAACGATTCAGATGCCAAAGGATGTGATCTAACAGCTGTGCCAAGGCGGGAGCAAACTGATGAGAAGCATGTATGGACCGTTACTTCAGACCAGATAACATCGTCAGGTCAGCTCCACAAAATGTGACTCTGAGCAAGAGTTTTCTGTCTTTATGAATCATCTGGAAAAAAAATAGGAAGTTCTGGTTAGACACACTTCCTACATACACTGATACTGCACTACAAAGAGGAAAAAGCTTTACAATCTACAGCTATCTGCAACAGTTATCTGTCACTACAGTAAATAGAAAGCATAAAAACAGCTACATTTAAGTGATATCTAATCATTTCAGGGCTGAAAAAAAGTGTTTTTGAGTTCAATAACTATGGGGTGACCTTTTGCTCACGACTGCCTTAAGCCCCATACACATAATCAGAAAATCATACGAAAAATACCGCTTTTGGAGCGATTGGCCGATCATTTGTATACAGCTATTGACAGACGTTCATTTGAAATCATCCGAAGGGAAAAACACATTTTTTCACATACGATACCAGATCATAATAGAGATAAAAGATATAATTTTCCTTTAATCGGTACAGGTCTTGCAAAAAAAAAAAAAAGATCATTCGTCCAATATTCTCATCGTGTGTACGAGGCATTAGGAAATGTAGTCATTTAATAAGCTATAAATAACTAGAAACTCTACATACAGCAGATTTTCTTGAAAAGGATGCAATGAAAAGGTTTAGATGGCTGGACTAGATTATACATGATCAAAGTACTGGCGGCTCTGTGTCAGCTCAACTATGTAACAATCATTAACCAAATGTAATAAATACAGGAATAAATATTAGCTCACTCATTTTCACATTTTTTTTTTACTTAACCGAATGTTTTTAGATCTTCATTCTTTAGAACAAAAACTGTGTGCACCACAATTAGCACTAATGACTGTAATAATCAGGGAGACAGCAAATCTTTTTTTTCAGGGTACTACAGTTCCTTGAAAGTATTCATACCCCTTGAAATTTTCCACATTTTGTCATGTTAAAACCAAAAACATAAATGTATTTTATTGGGATTTTATGTGATAGACCAGCACAAAGTGGCACATAATTGTGAAGTGGAGGGAAAATGATAAATGGTTTTCAACATTTTTTACAAATAAATCTGTGAAAAGTGTGGTGTGCATTTGTATTCAACCCCCCCCCCCCCACCACCACAAATTTCAATAAAATACATTTATGTTTTTGGTTGTAACATGACAAAATTTGGAAACTTTTAAGGGGTATGAATACTTTTTCAAGGCACTGTATACTGCAGTACCTTGTATAACTCAGGTTTTATTGTCAAAGCTTGACAATAATCTGCCGCCTGCTCAGCGGAGAAACTGTATGCTGATCCCCACTGAGCAGATGGGAGAGAGATCTGTGTCCGCTCTGCACAGCCCGCTGTTCTCTATGGGGTGGATGTAAACAGACTGCCTGACTGTTTACATCCGGCTGTCATCCAAACCAGTCCGGCTTTTTTAGCGGATTGGATGCAGGCAGGTGTAAACAGACATGTCCATTTACATCGGCCTCTCCATACAGAATAATGGATGGTTAGATCAGGTCCACCTGAAAAATGGACAGGTGAACCCGATTGGGATCCTCCTGTGTGAAAGAGCCCTTTAAAGCGGTTTGGCCATCATGCACAGCTGCACCAGATTTTGCATTCTCCAGTTTTAGTAAATCTCCTCCATAATATGAAATTCAATCATTACATTTTTATTTACACATTAGTAGGAAAAAACGTTTTTGCTAATTATTATTAGTTCAGTAATACCATGCTGCAAATTCTACAAGCCTGTAATGCCATGTACAAGTCAACTATAAATAACAACATACTAAACCTTTAACACACATGGCACAGAACTAAACATATGTGGTTTCCAGCTATCTCAGAGGACTACAGAGCCCCTGCAATGCAGCAGAGAAGGGGTGGAGATGTCCTGTAGTCCTGTCCTAGATTGACAACTCTGTTCCTCCCCAGACACAGTACAGTAGTAGTGAAGGAGCATTGTCACCCTAGGACAGGAAGTGTGTTAGTAGCAGGATCACCTGGTGAAAATATAGAAAAAAAAAGACAAAAAAAAAAAAAAAAAAGACAAAAAGAAAAAAAAAAAAAAAAAAAAAAGAAAAAGAGAAGCAAGGCCTCATTCATATGGTAATCACATTTCAGAGCTGGTTGACAGACAGATGATAGAAAATTAGCGATCTCTCGGATGCCTTTTTTTGGGGGGGGGGGGCGGGGGGCACAGTATTGCGCACAACCATATGTAATCAGAAATGGCTGCATCATTTATTTGAATGGGGCACAATCGATGACGCTACCACCTGACAAAAGCAACATGCTTTAAATGTGTATTATTACAGACATATCCACTGGCAATGTAAATTTTCCACCATGCAAAAAAACCCCATAAAAATCTGTTTTCTCACTGCCACTCTGCCATCCAAATGAACAAGGTCTAAAAATTACAAAGCTAAAATATATTAAATTTTTGTTATTGTGTACAGATGCACTTAAAAAAATAAAAACAAAAAAAACCCTTTTCTACCAGGATACATCTTTAAACAGCTGATCAGCAGCTCTTTACTTACCGGTTCTGTTTATAAATGGCACTGGATAAATAGTTGTCACACAACTGCTATACCCAATAATCGCTGTGTACCAAGTCATCATTAAATGTCTCAGTACACAGAAACACTGTACTGAGCCAATCCAAAGAACTGGGTACCATGTGACCGCTGTGAGTGGTCATCACTGCGATCACATGTTATTGTTTACACTCAGCATTGATTCCCCCCCCTCCCCCCTACGATGGGATTGAGTACCTGTCAATGGTGAAAGAATGAATGGATCAGCAGCTGCAAATTCTGTTTGACTGACACAGGGGATTGGGGTCTTTTAAACCCTTTCATCTCTCCCTACTCTCCTACACAAACATTATCTACATGCTGTCTTTATTGATCCTTTCACCTCATTATCCTGCACATGTGAAAATTAACTTCAATTCTATCCTCCCACTGTATGTGACCTGTACATTAACCCCTCTACTTCCTCCTCCCCCTTCGAATGACCTGTACATTTAATGTTCCTAGTGCAGCATTCCCAAGATCCATGGTTAACCCTCTCAATATCAGCATGTCTCTTAACTTCCAAAAATTTGAGATCACATTTGGGGTGTCCACTTTCCAAAAAGGGGTCATTTTCAGGGTTTCTGTTCTTGTATTTTTAATAAAAAGTAAAAACAGCTTTTTTTTATTCTTGTTTTGGGGGTTTTCTATAGTAAAAAAAAAAAAAAAAAAATGATTGAATCCCCCCCCCCCCCCCAAAAAAAAAACATTGATTAAAATATCACAAAGAGAAAGCTCGGTCTCAAAAAATGCTATAAAATTATTTTGGGTATAGTGTGGAGTGACAAAGAAACTGTCAGTCAAACTGTCACAGCACAGCACTGTAATGAAGGGGTATTACAGGCTGGTACTCAAAGGAAGCATACATAATGGCTCTATAGCAAACTACAGGCAGAACTCTTCTACTTTCACTTTGTACTTTTATCTGGTGAGTAATGTCTATTGATGTATTCATGTATCTGACACTACTGACATCAGCCCCCCCCCCCCCCCCCCCCAAAAAAAGGAAAAAGAGAAAACTGGAAAACCTCCTAAATCTAACTACGACTAAATAAAACACACATTGTACCTGCCTATCAGCAATTAAACAGTAAAAGAATGCCCATATTAATCCAATTAGAAAATGGCACAGAGCCAAGGTATGTGACACCCAAACTACGCACGACCCCTGATAGGCAACAGGCGTTGTGTAGTGCATCTTGGGACATTGCTGCTGTGCCAGAGATCTTTTCCAGACGCACAGAAAGCCTTTATTGCTGATCTTCAGACATATTTACTCAAATGTTCATATTAACTAACCCGATAGATGGCTAACATGCAGGAACACATTAAGTATTGCTCTAAAATATACAAGGCAGTCACACATTGTGAGCATTACGATGGACACTCACCCCAGGGCTGTGTAATGCGCTGTACAGACTGTTATACCATCAGGACAGGACATTGTGCTTACTATGTGCAGGGCGTTGGGAGGGGTGGCCAGGATTTTTGGATTTCATTTCATTCACATTTCATTTTTCGTGAAAAAGGTGAACTTACCCTTTATGTGCTCTTCACACCAGCGGCCACATTATACTTCTGGTGTGACCTTTGAAAGGAGTGCTGCTGATGCGTAGTAAATGACCCATTGCACTTTCTACAATGTGTTGTACTGTGAAGCTAGTGGAATATTACTCCTGTGCTACCTTCAATATCTCAATCACAAATATTGTAATACAATATGATGTGAGCAGCTGCCAGCATCAACATTGTGTTCCCACACTCTCACCGTGAATTAAAGCAATACAAGAAATGCTGCCCTGCTGCTAAGTGAAATGTGCAAAGGACTATTATCCTAAATAAGTGCCTACAAACCCTAAACAATGGAATACCTACTAAACCAAAATACAAAGGTAAATAATAAAGTGTATACAACAATGTGTAAATGCTGTGTCCGTCTTAACAAGTCCATACGGTTTATACCATAGAATAAACACAAAATTTATGTGCCAAATTTCACTCAAAATTCCATTGAAAATTCTTGCATGCTCCTAGAAACCGATACTCTTAGTGCTCCTAGGGTCAAACAATGCCACCTCAGTGCTCACAGAACTCTCACCTTCAATATACTTGAATGCACCTAAGAGTTTATTTATGCAGGTTCCTTCACTCTATGGATCCTCCAATACTCTCTGTCCACAAGGGGCTCTCATTATTTCCTCTGGTCTGTGAGCACTAATGAAGAGCACGTAGCAATATTGGGCTGTTGTGTGTGCGCAACAATACAGAATAAAATGAAGAGCACATAGTAATATTGGACCGTTGTGTGTGCGCAACAG